CCCCCCCCCCCCCCCGGTTCATCAATGAAAAAGACTCCAGTCGCGAAGCCCGAATGAAATGATGAATCGGTGTCGTTCTTGAGAAGGGAGCGGAATGAAATTCGCGGAACACGGGATCTAGTCCGTGCGGTGGTGGGGGTGGGGATGGGGATCGACCGCTCCATCCGGTTGGCCGCCACGATGAGCGAGAGTATGGCGAACACGCCATCTAGTGATCGCGTGACTCTGTGGTGGCAACGATCGACCGCACTCATCCCGTTCATGAAAGAAGAGACAGCAGTAGCGAAACCCGAGTGAAAAACGTGATAAATGAATCGGCGGCGCTCTGAATGTGGAAGCGGATAAGAACTAGCTCACACGGGATCTAGTCCGCGCCATCCCGTTGACCAATGGAAAGGCCTCTCACTGTTGGCAGAATGCGGGATGAGTGATCTCCGCGTTCTATCAGGACCCGCGCTAAATGCCGGGGGAAGGTCCCTGAATTGTAGTGATTTTGTATGAAAGGCATATTGTAGGGTTTGTTGTGGCCAATGAATGTTTACGGGAAGGTCCCTGGACTATAATGGTGACGTTGGTGGTGTGCCAAGCAACCTTTACCACTCTGTGACCGAAGTTTCCTCTCCTACCATGCCCCCCCCATCTCAAATCGCCACTGTTGCAGGTTGGCACTGTCAAGGCGGCGTGATGCTTGCGGATCTGCACACCCTTCACTCTCCGCTTCGCCGCTCCTGCTGTAGCTGCTGCTGCTACTGCTGCTGCTGTGAAAAATACAACGCTGCTAGAGGTCACACGACAATCCCGGCGCTTCGCAAACAGGACACTTCTTATACGCTTTTATTCTCGGAGGGCTTATTTTTTTCCGTCGTAGCTCCCTGTACGGGGGATCGTTGGCAGTCCTGTCCGCGGAGACCCTTTCTTCTTCGCACGTCGTTGCGGCGGAACATTTGACGTTTCGGGATGCACGGAAAATCGGAATCGATCGTTGCTGGGTCGAACCCTTTCGTCGATTTTCCCGCTTGCTTTCCTTCATTGTGCGACCGCGTAATTGGTGAAGGTGAAACGATGTTTGCTGCTCCTTGCTCTTTTTAAGAGAATTTGAACACACGTCGCAGAATCGACTACAAGTATGCATACCCGTTTGAGAAAACATTGCCTGCTAGTGGAAGGGGAGATAGGTGTGTTGAATGAAGTCGTCGCAATGAATGGGGAGAGGAGCCTTCATCTGAGCGGGTCCTCTAGACAGATAATCACGATCACTTTTCTTGCCGAGACTCACAGCCGCACTCAGAACGTTGGGTCTTAACCATGGAACAGCATCCACGATTCCCCTTATCCAAGTGAAGAATTATTTCGTCGATTTGGAGAGCCGAAGGCTGGGCTTGTCTTGTTTCTTGTCGGCTCTCGCTGATCCTTTCTTGATTTCATTCCGAAGATGTCATCATCGGTCCTACCGCTGCAGTTGGGTGTATGCTGCATCACTGATCATGATGAATCAATGGGCCGTAGGAGGCTTCTTGGAAGTTTATGCTGTCGAAGCGGTGTTTCTCGCGTGGTGTTGGCGGCATCATTGGTGAGGAATGGGCCTCCGAGGAAATTTCTTGGAAACTTCTATCGCCTTTGACCGCGAGAGGTCGAAGAATTAACCATTAACGTGTGTGCCCAGTGAGCTATGAGCGCAATCCACCCCGAGGTTGTCATCGAGTACCGTCCTCTTCCTCGACTGTCTCGTCACTCCCTCTGTCAATGTGGCGCGAAAGAACATGACTTCTTCTGCACGCACGTCTGGACATCAAGAGAGGTTGGGTTGTGACCCAATAGGTGGACGTTTGCTCGCACACCCTTCGGCTATGTAGGGAGGATGTATCGGAACGATCGTGTAGTCCGACAGGCCACCCTAGCCCGAGCGAGTGCAGCGAAATAAACGTCCTTGAGCCTCTGCTGGATTGTTCGTTCCGATACGTCCTCCCTCACCGAAGGGAGTGTGCCGTGTAGTACACGTCTTTTGGGTTCCACAACCCCGATATCCCGACGTGCGGAATGAGCCTCTCACTGCTGTACTCAACACTAATTTTTCGCGCCCGCCCGCCGAGGAACGATGACAACGGTGCGGCGTTCGAGTAGCTACGAATAAAATAGCTTCAACTCCCCCAGCGGGGCAACAGCCGATGGGTAACCAACCCATGGTGGGGCATTTGTATAATTCGCAAGCTCTCGGTAGAGAGCTTGGGTCCCTCCACGGCCCTCTGGATTTTACTTGCCTGTTGGCGCGCTCTGCATGCCACAAAAAACGCCAAAAGTCATTTTGTATTTACTCGCTGCTGTCGGCGCATTCTGTACGCCACAAAAAAGGCCGAAAGTCATTTTGTTTTTACTCGCCTCTGTTGGCGCGTTCCGTAGACTACGCCACAATAAAGGCCAAGAGTCATTTTATTGTTTTCTCGCTTCTGTTTGTTGGCGCATTCTGCATGCCGTAAAGAAAGGAGAGAAGTCATTTTGCTTTTGCTCGGTTCTGTTGGCGCGCTCTGCATGCCACAAACGGAGCTCATCAAGTTGCTTTTGTTCAGTTATTTTTAGCTTTTCGAGGCTCTTGCGTGCGGCGAACAACTTGTCGTTGAGAGATCGCGACGAAAAGAATGATACGTCGTGTACTAGTACGCCACAATTGGTTGTGCAGTATCACATGTAGTACGGCACCGCACACTGTTTGAAAGCCAACCCCATTATCGTTGTCAAAGCCGACCCCATCATCGTTGCTCCTGCATCCCGATGTCATCATACAATATCATCATTCTGTTTGGATGAACGGCGATGGCGAACAAAAACTTATCCTCGACCGCGTCCACCGTGCAGCAACACTGCTGCAATCCGCACAAACGTATGTGGCATAAGATAACACACCCCCTTCACCATTTTTTGAAGCTCGATTTCTCAAGTGGAGGAACAGTCACAGCGCCGAGAACGGCGGCGTTGAAACCGTCTCGTCGAGAGCTTTTCGAAAATGTATCGTTTCGTTAATGCATCTTCTTCGTCGTGGAGTAATCAAGCTTTGAAAATCGGTCCAGGGAGTGTGTTATCTTGTGTCATATACGGTATTCATTTCCACTGCTTCAAGGCGCGGGGTAGCTCAAAAGAAATATCGGAATTTGTTCTAAGCAGACCTGAGGCCGACAACCCTAGCATTAGCAGGCTGCAATCGAGGGTAGTACGCCCGCTACGCCCCCCTGTTCATGGGCTCAAAAAAGACAACGCGTAACAACAACAATAGACAAAAACTTTCACGTGTAACAGTGTACAAGAAAATGCAGCCAGCCCTCTTTGCCACACCTTGCGTATTCCATGGTCAATACACTCCCAACAATCCGCCGTACTAACTTTTCCCCGACCTTCTACACATATATATACTTTGAATGATACGAAATAGTAACAACAGCAGCAGCAACGAGGCAACCGAGAGATGGCAAGCCAGAATACAACCCCTCTCCACTCCCAGCCCTTTGCGTACATAAGAGTGCTTCTCGACGTAGGAAGCAAACGAAACCTCACCTACTTTGCTGGTTCACCCGATTGGTGGCGCTGTGAATCGTAGTCTAATTTGTTCCAGCCCTTTTTTTTATTCTCGATTGATTGCGTGGTATATATTCCCAGCTTGCCGATGTGGATTGGCTGTCATTTCCGCAACCCATACTTGTAGCACCCTCAGCAAGAGCGCGGTTCCCCCCCCAACTCTACTTAACGCGCCACACTTTTCAATTCCGACAGGACAAAGAGTCACGGAACTTGTCAGGGTGCCTCATACGTAGCACGGCCGCTCCTCAACATGGCAGTTGACAGGCCTTGTCGAGGGTGTCTATTGTACTGTTTTTTGGAGCATGTCCTTGGAACGCTCTGTCACGGGGGTGAACCTGGACAACAAACTGCAATCTTTTCCCCTCCTCCCCCTCCTGAAAACTGGAAACTGGCGGAAACATAGAAATATTGAAGTTTCCCGATGCGGGAACCAAACCGCTGCCGTCGCCAAAAGGCAGCAGTGAGTCATTCCAATCTCGCCACTACCCTGCAAGTCAGCATTGCAGACGTCTGTCCAACCTCAACAAAACAGCAGACTGTTCAACCTCACCACTCTCTTTGCCTTGAAAACTCGACCCGAAATGGACCGCGGGTGGGAATGCGCGGGCAGCTAGCTAGCTCCCCCCAACGCATGTTTCCACGACGAAATACGGTACACTTCGGAATAAGGGAGCGGCGAAAACGTAGTAGCTGCCTCGCCCCTTCTTACTTTTATGGTGTGCAAACAAATTATGACCTGATTAAACATTACGAGGGGGCAGCACAGCGGGGTATCTCGCTAGTATTTTGCCGCAACAGATAAGAGCCTCCGGGCGACGCCACGAAAGCCGTAAAAATGCCTCTTCTCCGTTTCTGGGACTCCTATCTGGCCCACGTTAACGACTTGTCGGGAGCCAACCGGCGTTTAACATGACGAACTACGATGCCGAATGCCACCACGAAAAAAAAAAAAGGCAGCCCAAGGTTTGTTCCCGTGAAGGGAAAGCGATCGACTCGTCTCGTTGGCACCGCGAAAGTCGAGAGTGCCCGACGAACGACACATTCGCAAAGAGGTATGAACAAAGCCTGAATAATACATCTACCCGAGGAATTCCGCTGTGCGCACCACCACGCACGGACACAAGAACAGCAGTCGGGCAAAGGCACAAGCTGGCCATCCGACAGAAGAAGGCAAAACAACGATGACACGCCGGAAACGATGCCAAAAAAAAAAAAAAAA